AGCTTAACAATTATGAAATAAGAAATTCCTCAAATACGCCGTTGTCTTTTGGTGTAACCGACCTTCGAATCTCTCCACGCAACACTTTTATTCGAAATGGAGGTGTGCTCAACAATGATCAGTCCTTCTTCAACTTATACGACTAAGACTGTCTTGAGCTCTTCTCTTTCCGCCAATATTGACAAGATAATGAAAGACAGAAAGTTTAATTTGTCTTTTATCACATTAAACCAACTGGGATGAATTTACTTTTTATTCCAAAGTCATTGATACTTTCGCAGTCTATTTATAATGAATGCAAATGGTGCAGTCAATTAAAGTGTAAAATGTAAGCAAGTTGAACAGACCAACCTTGTGTAACGGGACCACTTTTATGGCCAAATGGTGCAATTCGTCCAGTCGCCGCAAAAGGGTGATGTGCTCATCAAGACGAGCTTCCAGATCCGTCGTCAAGTCAACAACTCTACTCCTCATCGTGGCGTATCGTTGCGTCGGATCTGCTCGATCCGGCCTACCGGTTTGTCCCGAAATGGTCGGCAAGGCAGAGCCGAAGCTGCCGCCACTGGCACCAACACAGCCTCCGGTTGTGGCGCCTGGTTTGGTGAGAGTCTGTTCAATTTCATATTTCAACTCAGCCGCCAGTTGATGGAACTGGATTCGGGGTGCAGTTTTTGACAAAGTTGCGTGAAAGAAAGACCATTTTAGAGAGGGACACATTTTCGCCAGACACTTCGGGCCAATTTATAGTTGCTTTTATTCGCCTATAATTAATTTTCAATGTTAGGGGGACTTTCATTTTGTATGAAATTGAATGAAGAAACGAGGAAGAATGTCTCGTGGACTGCGTCAGTATGAACATCGTCTAAAAGCCAAACGGCTGAAGTACAACGAGATTCATCCGTCCTCTTCTTCGTGCACTTTCATACGAAATTAAAGTCCCCTAACAATGTTATCTCAAAGATTCATCGAAACCCAGTTTCTCTTCGTATCTATAATTTTTAATAATTACTCCTATTACATTAGATTCGAGGAAAAATGTGAACCGAATCTGGGCCCTAAGAATATCAACATTTAATGGTAATAGGAAATAATTTGTTCCCTCATTGAAGCCAATAAATAATGGCAATTGTTTACCATTTCCGTTTGTGGTACTTTAGGTGTTCTATTAAGCGTAAAATGCAAATAAAATAAAAAGACAAGTGAAGAGTTCTTCTTCACTTACAAAGACATAGCTTAGCACTGATGCAAAAGGAAATGTAACACATATTTACGTCAAAATTGTAAACTGACTGCACTTTCGGAAGTTTAAAATTCAGCAAACTACAAGTTTGCTTCTTTCTGTTTAGAGATCCAGTCTTGAAGTTATGAATTTCACGCTAAACAATTTAACAATTGCGCCCTAAGCTTCGGAATTCGGAGTTCAAAGAACACTGTCCTTTGTCATAAATCTTGAGTTTGGAGTTGAAAGGCAGGATTTTTATATCTCGACAATGCAAATACACATCCAGAACTGTATCTATCACATTTTGCTGAGCTCACTTCCATTTCGAGTGAGAGTGTTTGATAAAGAAAATCGAGGCTAAATCCCACCAGAAGACGACTATGCATTCCTCTTGATCAGTTGTCGATAGGCTTTATTGGAAAATTCTTATTAACCCTGTTTCCGAAGCAATCTCCTTCGATTTCGATAAAACTTAAACGAAATAGGCCGAATACATTTTATTTTATTAGTTTGAGACGATTCTACATCATGTCCCGTTTCTGTTATGCGATTGACCACTTCTGCCCGTTGGTCCCAGCTTCCTTTTTTGTGTTCTCTCAAACTTTGTCGAATGGGCCGGTATGTATCACCAACATGAGGTCGACCACAGGAGCACACAATCTTGTGGCAGCCGGATCTCGAGAAAGGGTCATATTTCTCTCTAAAAGATGGCATAATCAAGAAAGTGGGAGGGTTTCTTTAAACAATATCTTGCTTATTCGCTTATCTTTTTTGGAAGAAGGCATGAAGTGTGACGGGCTTTTTCTTGAGTAATTAAGCCCTGGTGATCAGATTCTGACATTAGTTTTTTTGTATTTAAGTAGAGTTTCGAGTACAATTTGCCCATAATCATATGAGTAGAGCTGACGTTTCCATTCAATTTCATATAGCCTTGCTTTCCGAAAAGTTGTTCTCATCCAGGCACCAATGGACTGCATTCTCGACTTCGCATTTGTCTTATCAAACACCGCAAACAAAATAGGGTGAATACATTTCATATACCTGATTTACTGGTAGTCTCGACACTCTACTCAAATGCAAAAATAAGTAGTGTAGTCAATTGTTATAGCAAAAGAATGTGATATGGCAAAAGGCCTCGTCTTCCTTGAAATTCACATTCGCCCCGTGACCCAAAGGCACTCGTGGCAATGTGGCCGAGTGGTGAACGCGTCAAGTTCACATGCTTCATT